AGGCGATTTGCAAGGATTCATTACAAAGCATTATACTCACTTCTGTAGGTGAAGCTGGATCATGAATGATTCTCGTGAACATAGACGCATTTATGTAGACCGGGGGCGCATTCCCTTCAGAAACAAACATAATCCACTGCGAGTTCAGTGGCTCAGATGTCGGGAGTGTCAAATTAAGTCTTTTTTTTCATTTTTGAGAAACAACAGATTTAAGTGCTTACGCTTAAAACAAGAACAAGTATCTGCCAACTGAGTATGAAAACTTGTTTTTCCTTTTAATTCAATTAATTTTTTTCTGAACCTATTAGCAGAATATTTGTTCTTGTTTAAATCATAAACTCACTTTTTTTATGAGATCACAATTTATCAGAAATGTATCGGTTATCAATTTATCAGACATCATATATGATTTTGCATCTCAATTAAATGCATCTGGATTTAAGAATCTTTAGACATTTGCACTGGAAAACAAAAAAGTACTAATAAAGAACAGCATTTTTTTGCAATGTGATCTGATCAGAAGATACAGTAAAAGTTATTTCTATATTCTAGTGGTTGGGAACTGAGGTATTTGAGTTATATGCTATTTGTTTTTGTAAAATGAATGAAGAATTGGAGTTCTGTTTTAAGTTGTGTTTTCAAACAAAGTCTTACATTTACCTTCATAAAACCTGCAGAAACCCTGTAACTAAATGTTTCTGTACTAAACTACGTGTAACTCAATGTTCAAGTTAATGTGGCCATATATGTTTTATTCTTTGTATTTTGACAGGCTAAATTAAAATTGTAAGCAATAAATAATAGCATGCTGAAAATATAAGATTAAAGGTGTTTAGTTTCAGTTCAGTGTATTTGTTGGAGAAAAAAAAAATCCCCAAAATGATACTGAAGTGCACTGCTGTAGTGTTTTTAAATGTTTGGGGTCTGTAAAACTTTTTAATGTTTTTGAAAAATCCAAGGCTACATCTATTTGATTAAAATAGTAATAATGTGCTGAATTTTCAGCATCATTACTCCAGTCTTCAGTGTCACATGATCCTTCAGAAATCATTCTAATATGCTGCTTTGCTGCTCAATAAACATTTCTTATTATTATCAGTTTGATAAATAGAAAGTTCAAATGAAAAGCATTTATTTGCAATAGAAATCTTGTATAGCATTATAGTCTTTTCTGTCACTTTTGGTCCATTTAATCCATCTTTGATGAATTAAAATATGAATTTCTTTCATAAAAATAAATTTGAACAAGCTCTTCACACTTCGGTGTAGTCAAATAGAAAATGATTTATTTATACACTCCTCTTGTACACATAGACATGAACGAAATAGAACTTTACAATCATATTTAAATAATAATTCATCAAAATGATAAAAAAAAGATCACATTTGTTATTGCACTTCACCCTGTATTCACAAATGCAACGATGTAAACCAAGCCGAACGCCTTGACTAACAGTCAGAAATGAATGTTTTGCTGTCGGTCTCTCGTCTCACTGTGTGCTGTAGTACTGCGAGTGATAGGGCTGGTATGGACTCATCATGGAAGGGTTGATGCTCTGTAGGGTGCTGTACTGATACAGGGCCTCCACAGGCAGGGACGGCAGGCCTCCGGCTGTAGCAGGGCTGTAGTGGAATCCCGGGCTGTAAGGTGCCGGGCTCTCTTGGTAGTAGCTGGGATACGGAGCAGCACGGAAACTGTGCAGATCGGAGTAATGCATCATATGCAAGGCTACCTTGGCCTGACAGGCATGAGCCAGACTGTCCTGAACGGTCCGTTTCAGCTTCATGCGTCGGTTCTGGAACCAGTTTCTGATCTGATGGAGAGAAACATAAGATAAGTTCACATTTAATACATAAAAGTCAAATCACTCTTTTTGCGACTTTGGAGCCCCCTACAGTTAAATGAGTGTAATAACAGCGGATAGCTGTAGGCGCGCATTTGTTGCAATCCGCCCTTTTCGCGAAATTTCGTACCCGCTTACCAAACTTACATACTCCCCCAGTACAGACGTTATATTAACTTAGTGTACCATCAGAATGCAGCTGATATTTAATGGTAGCTATGGGCGAATCGAACCCATTTGAATGTTTGAATCAACTGAATTGTTTCGAATCTCTCGAAACGCCACACGTTAGTGACGCCTGCTGGTCAAAACTGTGTAAATGCAACAAAAACTCAGGCCAAACACCTTCTACCAAGTTTTTTTCAAAGTATAATATAAGAAATGGTATTAACAAATCATCAAATATCATTTAATATAAATAGTGTCCGTGTAACATGTTCTTTTATTCATTGTTTTGTTGGTTTTATGGAGGGCTCGGCTAAACAGGCCAATACGAGACGTTTAACTACTGCTCTTCATTTTTATTATACAAAAATGTTATTTTTTAGAAACCGTTATGACTCCGAATCACTGGTTCGAATCAAATGATTCATAAAGGTTTCGAAGCTTCACGAAGCTGTGCTTTGAAAGTACTCATCAAGTAATTTCAAGGTAAAGAAAAAAAAAACTAGCACACAGTCGCTTTAAATCACATTATTAAAATCATAGTAATAATAATAACAATGAATCGACCTGGTACCTGTTTATCAGACAGATTTAGTCTTTTGCAGAGCTCAGCTTTGTCCTGGGCTCCCAGATAAGCGTTCCTCTTGAAGGCTGTCTCTAGACTGTTGATTTGTTCGGCGGTGAAGGCCGTTCGGGGTCTGCGGCCGGTAGAGGGAGATACTGATGGCGCCGGTTCTTTAGGGGCCCCAGGTGAGAGAGAGCAGCCACCCTCGCTCTCGTACCCTGATGTCTCCTCCTCCTCCGTGCTGCTGCTGAAACCTGGCTCTGAGGCGATCAGGAAACAAAAATAAATACATACATAAACACAAGGGAGCAAGAGAAAATAAACATTTTGTAAATTTGCATTTAAATGGAAAATGTTCAATTGAAAATAAATAAATGTAGGGAAAATACGACAAAAGTAAATTAAAGCAGATCCCACGCAAACTGTAAATTTGCTAGCATTACATTTTAAAACGGGATCCTAATACAAACTAAATGAAATGGATTTATACTTAAAATAATTAGTTTGTTGTTTTAATATAAGTATTTTAGTGTTATTTATTATTTTAACAGTATTTTAATAGTACTTTTAACTATAGTTATGTTCAAAAATATTTATTTTTTATTATTTAGACAATTTTTACTACTAATCCAATAAAAGTAACAACAGGTGCATATTTTACATTAAATGATTTAAAATGTAAAATAATAACCTATCTATTTGAATATATTTTAAAATGTATTTTTTTCCTGTGTTGGTGGTTTATAGTTTTACTTTTAACTGTTAAAGTCATTGATACTATATACTTTACTGTTAAATAAACAAAACAAAACAAAAATAACAGTAGGATTTTTATATCTGTATTTTACATGAAATCATTATTTAAAATCTTTTATAACTGTTTTCTGTTTTTAATACTTTTTTTTATTTTTATTATTCCAGTGTTGGCAAAGCTTCACTTCTGTACTTTACCTTTATTGTTACTATGTTAAAGAACTATTTATACCATTTTCCTGGTAATTAAATTAAAAACAAAATAAAATAGATAAATATTTTACATTAAACCATTAAAAAATGCATAAAGATTACTCAACAATATTAACATGGATTATGAGAACAGTGTTTTTACCGTGAGTGTGTTGCTGGACGATATTGTTGTCACTGGACTCGGTCTCTTGCGTAGATGTACACAACAAACTGTTTCCCGGCTGTGCTGGCTCCATACGTTTCTCCCGATTCTCCATGTTTTCTGGTCTCCATCTGCTGTAGAAGCCAGGAAGGCTCTCAGATGCAGTGCCAGAGGTGCTCGGGATGTCCTGGCCGGGAGAGACCCAAGAGCTTGAGGGAAGTGTTGATACCGAAGCCTGGCTGCTTTGAGAAAGCCACTCGATGGAAAAATGCCCCTTCATCTCAGAGAACCAACTGTGTCCAAATCCAGCAAAGAAAGGCAGATATCCGGTATAACACAAGGCAGTTGTGCAGTTCTTCTTCTTAAGGGTGAGGTTCCAGCAGAAGTCCTGTGACTGAGTGAGTCAGATGTGTGTTTGTGTTCTGGTAAGCGTGGCTTTGGGTTCACTGGTCAACACCTCCAGCATGGGGCTCAAGTATTTATAGG